CTGACAGGAATTTCAGGCAGTTTGAATTTTGATGAGGAGGACACAGAAGAGGAAGAAGCTAGTAAGAGACCAGCATCTCATTCACCTGACTCTGAGAGGCCTAGATCTGCAACCAGTGAGAAATCTTTTGCAGTAAGTGTCTTGAAATCCATTTCTGACAAGAGCTGGGCACATGTTTGATTTTTGTACTAACTCTTTGAGCACTGGGTTAAATACAGTAATTGCAGCTACAGTAGCTATCGTATTAATCCCTGAAGGCAGAGGAAGGTCATGGTTGTCAGGTTATCTGCTTGAAGGGCTTAAACACAAGACCTAGTGATGATCAAAGGAACAATGGTGGGTGGAGGAACCCAAGTAGCCTTATCAATGAGGATGGGGGAAGCACAATGAGTCAGCTACTCCTGTGGCCTTCAAAGGAGACAGATTAGGCCATTGTCTCTGGTGTAAAATCCACCAAGATGACTCAGAGAAACTCTCAAATGCCATGCAAACTTAAGAGGGACTACTGCCTGAAGGTTTATAACATTTACTGTGGGATGCAAGGGGGAACAGAATTTTGGGTTGGAACAGAGAATTTTGTGATTGGGCAAAATTTTTAACGTAGGTTTAGGGGAAGGGACTCAAGGGAAAAGAAAGGGATCAGGGAGTAATAAGCATGGGAAAATAGAGAGTAAAGGGGGTAAAAGGCACTAGATGCATGTGAAGACTTGCACCAGCTGCAGGACACTATGCTTGTCTGGCCAAACCTTGTGCCTGATTACTTCAGCGTGTCCTACCACCTTCTAAAGCTCTGTCTCAAACTATTTCCTGTGTGAATGTGTTCTCCTGTGCATATTTGTGTGTGAGATAGATACATACATACATACATAAACTGGTGAACTATATGCTGGACTACCCAGCCAGTTGGAAGAGACCAGCATGAGGAAAACCCAGGGTCTGAGTTAGTGACCAGATAAAGTGCTTAGGATTTGGGCATGGATGGTGGACAGCCCTAAAAGTCCATGAGGTGACTGTGTGTATGGTGTGCTGCACTAGTAGGTGAGTAGTACAAGAGGTCTGGGTGGGAGCTACCTGGGAGACCAGGCTGTGGGTGCCAACTGCTGGAGATGTGGGGTGGGAGGTGCTGGAGATGGGAGGGGTGAGAGCCACTAGTGAATTCCAAGTCTGTGTGTGTGTCTCTGTGCTTATTCACTCAGACTTCCTAGTGGCTGTACCTGGGAATGGGGATAAACCAGCAGCCTCATCTCCAAGGTCCAGTAAAGGAGGAATCTCCTAGCTTCTACAATCCATAGGACTCGGCTACCTTTAAGAAAAAAATTACTTTAATGACCTTTACCAGTTTTCCATTAGATTCCCAGTTCCTTTGGTGACCATCACTTGTATCCTGACTGTACACATTGTTCTAAGGTTCTTCCAGAACTCAGCTGAGATGGTTCCACTGTCAGCTTACGTTTCTGCTGCTCTTCTGAACTACCATCTCAGTTCTCATTTCAGTCAAAAACCATCCCAGCCTGTCTTCTGCAGCGTCCATCAGTCCAGTTTGTCACCCTGCCTTATTTCCCACAGAGTGTCCATCAGTCCAGTTTGTCACCCTGCCTTATTTCAGTATCAGAGTATCTGAAGTTGTAAAAGCAGAGAGGCTCTGTGCTTAGACTATTTACAGTGTCTCATTGCATTTTTGCCTTCCTGAAGTGCAATTCACTCATCCCTAGTTAATGGGTACTTCCCCCCCACCCTCTAGGGATAGTTTTTCCTTAAAGTTAAAGTCTTCAGCCTCTTTCCTCAGATAAATACAGGTGGTGTCTTCTTTGACTTCCCTTTCCCAAATAACTTCTTGAGACATGAGATCTTCAGGTTCAACAGGCCTTTCTTTTCTTGGGGAATACCAGAGCCTCCGACCTGATATTAATTTGCTAATATGATGGTTCTTCCCACAGGAAACAGGTGCTTCCTGTAGTCCAACCCCTCAGGCAGATGCACAGCTGGGAGAAGTAGAGAACTTGGAGGATTTTGCGTTACGCCCTGCACCCCGTGGTATTACAGTCAAGTGTCGAATCACTAGAGATAAGAAGGGAATGGACCGGGGCCTCTTCCCTACTTATTACATGCATCTGGAAAGGGATGACAACAGAAAGGTATTGGAAACAGAACACAGTATCTTGGCTATTGTACTCCTACCACAACAACATTTTTGGTATAAGGGAGAGCTGCTGAGCTTCTGGTAAGAAACCAGAAGCTGAGGAGAGCCAGTATGCAAATGGAAGACACCTTATATTTGGCCAAGGCACTAAGGAGGGAATTGGCAGGTTTAAAAGCCATAGTACAATGAAAAATGAAATTTAAGAAGTATAAAAATATCATGGGTAAAGAAGAGTGGGGAGACTGAGCTGCTCCAGAAGGAGGGATGACTAGAAAAGACAGTTGCATTAAATCTGGACTGCCAAGTGGTTGGAGGAATAGGATTTCAAGGTGCGCACTTGTGGAAGAGATCAAAATTATGGAGAAGCAATTATAATTATTATAATATAATAACAGCATAGAACAAAAAAGAGAGAAGGCTATGGGAAATTGAGTGATAACAGTTTGGAGAGTAATGCCTAGCAATGCCTCTGCATTCTTGCAAAATTCCAGTCTTGATCAAAGTTTTGTATTTCCAGACATTCCTTCTTGCAGGGAGAAAACGAAAAAAGAGCAAAACATCCAATTACCTCATATCAGTTGACCCAACTGATTTATCCCGGGAAGGGGAAAGCTTCATTGGAAAACTCAGGTGAGAACCACGGATGAAAACTACGGACAGGAGAGATTGGATGTTCATTTTAGTCGGGCTTGAGTTATGAATAGCAATCTGGTGTTGGTTCAGAGAGAATGCACTTGCGTTGTCCATTCAGGGAGAATGAACTCCCATCATCCTGCTGGATGTCATCTGCATTCACCTGGGTTGCCAACCCTTCGTCAGCGTTACCATTCACCGTAGCAGTTCAGAGAAGGAATTCTGGCTTGGTGCTTTTCCAGGGAAGGTTAAAGGCTCAGCCCACCATAGACACTTTGCAGAAGCTCCTTACTGAGCTGGCAATAGGAAGATTCAGATGGCAGGAGGTGTGTGTTTTCACTGTGCTGTGCAAATACCTTCAGAAGATGACAAAACTTCTGTTGATGCCTCTCTCTTTCTCTGTCTTTCTGTAACCTGACCTTAGGTCAAACCTCATGGGAACTAAATTTACAGTCTATGACCATGGAGTTAGCCCAGTCAAGGCACGAAATGTAGTGGAAAAGGCTGATATGAGACAGGAGCTTGCAGCTATTTGTTATGTAAGTAGTGCCTCTTCCCTTTTGCCCCTTTCTTTTTTTTTTGTTGCCTGGTTGCTGAGGAAACAGGGCTTACAAAGTCCTGCTGCCTGGCAGCCTCCCCCAATTCACTTTGGAACCAACTGAACGATTTCAACCGGACACAGCAAAGGGCAGAGGCCTCAAAGATAAGTTCTTACAAGTTTAATGAAAAAAAAATAATTTAAAAAAATCGATGCCAGGGAGGGAGAGAGACCCAAACTAACATCCATGATGTTACCTGGCCCATCATTTGACGTGGCCAGTCAGCACATCCTTTGCATGGAGCCAGCCACAGCGTGAACAGCCTCTTGCTCAGCTGGTACCTGGTGGACACTAAGAAGGAACCGGGAGTACCCTGTGAAGTAGAGTTATTTTTTGCAGAACCAAAGGCATTTTGGTGGGTAGGAAGAGCTGATATTATTTCAGTAGCTGCTTGTTGTTGGTAAGGATATGGTTCCAGGGCAAATCATGATTCACTAGCTCTGTCCTGGAGATGTTCTCTTCTCCTGGTCTTGTGGATCACCTTGTTCTAGGCTTCTGAGTGAAGAGGCATTTGTGGCCACTCCAGAATTATGTAAAGGGTTATCATTTCACATTGTTTCATATTCCAGTCCTAAAGTTGAAAATGAGTACAGCAGATAACATCAAGTTAGCTGCTCAGATTTCTGAATTTCTAAGTTTCATAAAGTTTATATATAAATGAAATCATATATCATATGTGCCCCTGGATTTTCTGAACTGAAATAACAAAGGTTGCAGCTCCAAAGACCTTTGTTCTGTGACTGCAAAATGCACTAGAATGTTAGGAGAAGCTGTATCACTTCTATCAATCAATTCAGTACTTCTAAAAGATTCTGGCATTTTAATTGGTCTTTGGGAATTTTAAAGGTTATCACTGACATTGTTAGCAAATGCTTTAAATGGACCCTTGGATTTTGGTTGGCACTATTAAATGGATGGTTTGAGAATGCCAGGATTTTTTCCTGTGCTTTTTATACTCAATCACTTGGAGCAAATCTCCTGCAGCACTTTGGAAAAATCTGCTTGGATAAATGCTGAATACTTTGCCTTCTGGGTCTGTTCTTAATCATTTATAAAAAGAACATGATTTGAGAGAACATTGTAGGTAAGCTCTTAAACACAAATAGCAGTACTTAAAGAAGAATGTAATTTGTCAGGAACATTTTAGCCTAAATGGTAATATGTAGATAACACAGACCCAGGTCAAAGATATTTGCCCTTTATCATACTCACGGCTCGTTAATAGCAGGATTTTAGCACATTTTTGCCTCAGATGCAAAAGCTTATGCCTGGAAATTGCACTTTTCTGAGTTTGTTATAAATGTTTCATTAGGATAACAGATGTGCTCTAAATTAGGTAATACTACCTATTTCTTTTAACACAGTTCTCAAAATGTGAATGAAAGCTATTCTCAGTGATTAAACACAGTTGCAGTTAAATAACTGCTACTGCAGTTGTAGCTAGCAAATCTCTAAAAACCAATATAAATGTGGATTCAAGTTCAGTTTTACTCTCTCTCCTTCTTTGAGATGGAGTAGCTCATTTACTGAAAAGAATGTCTTTCCTTGTCTTTCAGGAAACCAATGTGTTAGGATTCAAGGGTCCCAGAAAAATGTCTGTGATCATTCCAGGAATGAATATGAATCATAAGCGAATTCCAATCCATCCACGAAATGTGAGTTACGGAGTTTGGTCATGTTACAGGTTGGAGGAACAGCTTAAAACTTTCTCCTAGAGGTCTGGGTGTTCCTAATAATCATGGCTTTTAGAGCAAGATTGTTAATACCCAAGGCTTTAGCAAGTCTCAGGGAGAGTAAATACAATGTAGCCTAAAGGTGTTGATTAATTTGTTCCTGCCTTTTAGCTAATGTGTAGCCTTCTGTGTAGTGTTTGTATCTTTACTTGTCCTTTGGTCAGTTTAAATATTATTTACTTAGCTCTTGCAATGGCTAGTGGACCTTGTTGCACCTCAAACACCTCCTCATGGGTGGCACCCTGTTATTCTGAGAGTTGGAAGAACACAGAATAAACTTGCTTCTCCCAGGAGCTTACATTCTTAGCCAGTATATGAATTACAACAGATAAGAAATAGCTAAGGTGGTATTCTGGTGTAGTGGGCAAGAGAGTAAATACAATTTTGATCAGAATGTTGTCGGTCTCTTTGTAGGAATCAGAAAAAAGGAGGATTTTTTAAGGAGAAAGTGGGATGAGGAGAAGAATGGAGTTTTCTGATGACTGTTCAGTGAGGATTTCTCATACATGCAGGGGGTCTTATAGCTAAAAGCTTACAGAACTGTATCTGAAGATATATTAAGGTGTATGATGACAATTGGTCAGTTCCCTTCATGTGGGTTTTATATTTGGTGTGGTAGAAGACCAAAATGCAGAAAGAACAAGCGCTGGCTGAAAGTCATGATCGGTGTTTTAAGCTAGAAAATGGTATTTGCAGCCATGTTGTGAGTAGATATGAGCAGGATAAGAGTGTGTTGTTTGAAGCCAGAGGAAAAAAAAACCTTCACGAGTGGAAATTCAGAGTTATGAGAGACTGAAAAAGAGGTTTTTATTTTATGAATGGGCAGGGAAATAGTATCTGGAGGTGAAAATTTTATTTATCATCTTTCAGTTGCTGTTCCCATCTGCCCCATCAGTACAGTAATGATTCCATGCCCTGCCTTTATTTTTCTACCCTATTTTGCCAACTGTTTTCCTAGCAGGCAAGTGTACTGAGAGCGGACAAGGCTGAAACACAAGGCTGTTCTGAAATTTGGCAAAGCTTTCAGGGTAGTGGTTTGACTCTGATTTTATCTTCCTTCTCTGTAGTGTGGTGCCTCCAATTAAGCAATAGACCCCCCCACTTTAAATGAGGAAAAAATGCATCTAAATGCACTTTGTTGGTGCCAGTTCTCAAAGTTCTTTTTGGATCTTTTAAAAAGTAAATAAAGATAAAAATAAATATATAAGGTAACCAGTTTAAACTGAATGGTAAGTTTTGTTTAGGTTATTCTCAAAAATCCACTATCATATCTGTATACAATACTAAACCAGTTACTATAGCTGTATCAGTCAGACCTCCACAATAGGTGGAGGTTTTCTGATCATTTTTTCCCATTAAATAACTCCAATTTGGATTGTTTTTTTTTTGTTGTTGTTTTGTTTTAGCATATATTATTTCAGTTTGGATTTCATTTGTTGCAGAAGTTTTAAAATTAAATCATGTCATGTTTCCCTCGCTACTATTTGCGGCTCCTTGTAAACCATTCTGTCTGTCAAGTTTAATCTGCTGTTTTACCTCCTTTTTGTATCTTTTAATTTTTATATCTCTCTGGTTTTCATATTGTGCATTACTTATTAGACCCAAAGGATGACATTTAACCTACTTGCAGCCCTTTGGGATTTATACTGAAGGACCCCAGGGCCTGGCACTGCGCAGTTAATTGCAGATTATTTCATTTTTTTTAGAAAGTTTAGAATGTTGTGAGTGGAAGCTGGATCCAACAGGATCAGAGAAGGCTTACGAGACTCAGAAAGGATTCCTGCTAGCAGGATGGCAGTCATCTGTGCTCTGTGAATTGTGGCTTTTCCTGTACACACACTTCCTTCTCTTTCACTCATTTTTCTTGTTTGGGTGGAAATACAGTGATAGCTTATTGAGTGGGCTGGGAATGCATGAAGTATCTTCCTGGTACTTGCAGGAAATTTGCAGTAGGACTGACTTTAAGTGCTGTCGTGTTTCATTGAAAGGGGAATGACCTTCAAGTGTCAGGGTGCACATTCACGAGAGGCAGTACTTGAAAGCAAAGCCATTCCAAATCTGATAAATACACTTTTTTTTCTTCTGAACAGGAACAGGAGAGTCTGCTGTCAAAATGGCAAACCAAAAATTTAGAGAACCTCATTGAGTTGCACAACAAGGCTCCAGTCTGGAATGATGATACACAATCCTATGTTTTGAATTTCCATGGGAGAGTCACTCAGGCCTCAGTGAAGAACTTCCAGATTGTCCATGACAATGACCGTAAGAGTCTGGTGGAGATTGTGTGGGGCTTATTTGAACAGGGAGAACCCAATTTATTTCATGAGGTTTGGGAGGAATAGGACACTTTTCCTGGAGAAGGGAGGCTGGGTGAAGGAATTCAGCTCAGGATTACTGGGGACTTCTCTTCTGTAAAGAAAATTATATAAGGCCTCCCTTTTTCTGGGGTGGGTTCAGAGACTGCCGTCAAAGCTGCAGCAAAAGAAGGGGTAAATGCAAGGAAAGGATTAATATGGCACCTTCAGCCCAGCAAAAGAGTGGTTTGAGCTTTGGTTCTGAGAAGAAATGTAATCTCCAGAATAACAGAGTCACTCTAGAGAACAGATTTCAAGGCCACTCTGGTGAGGAAGTATGGATACACCAACCACACATATTTGGGACTGCCAGGCGTGTGGTTTTTTCTTTGTGGTTGTGGGTTGTTGGTTTTGGTTGTGTTTTTTTTTCTTTGCTTTACTGTGAAATTGTTTGTCTCTGAATCTTTCTTTTCTCCCCAGCTGACTACATTGTGATGCAGTTTGGTCGTGTAGCAGAAGATGTGTTCACTCTGGACTATAATTATCCTCTCTGTGCTCTTCAGGCCTTTGCTATTGGACTCTCCAGCTTTGATAGTAAATTGGCCTGTGAATGAGAGACAACAGACTTGAAACATGGAACTCACGCCCATCCCTGCATCTTGGTGTAAGAGTTCCAGGTGGAGTAATGAAAAGCACATTGGGGATGGAAGGGAACTGGAGGACAGATTTCTGCAGGAAAATTAGAAACCAAATATGAGGCCTCAGAGCATGACGGTAGTTGACAGTAGACCATCTGAGGACACTGTCCTAAGACTTAAGCAGTCTCTCTACGTATTGTGGAAGAACAAAGAATAAAGGTGATGTTTTTGTCATCAACGTTGATTCTGCTTTCAGAATCCTTCTAACAGATGCTACATGAGAGCAAGCTAGGGGAATTTAGCCCCACTGGAACCCCTTGCAGGTAGGATTAGAAAAATAACACTTTAGTGGTTCATATACCTTGGAACTTCCACAGTGCTGCTGGAGATGATGCTACTGATCTGATGAGGAACTCTTGGGTTCCTGATCAGACGAATTCAGAAAAAAAGGAGGACAATTATGGGCATGTCTTCTGTTTTACCCTGTGTCGCATTTTGCTGTCTGTCACACCAGTCAGACACAGAAGGATTCAGGTTATGGCTCTGTGCAGCCGTAGGTAACGTTCAACAAATGCAGAGGTGGAAGGAGATATTGGCTCTAATAAAAAAACTTTTCTCTTACTTTGTGGGATGATTCTCTGTTAAGGCTGATAGTCCAGTTCCCTTTCATTATTCTAATTGCTCCTTATCCTGTGACAGTCTTTTTACCAAATAAAGAACAATCAAATCTCAAATGCTCCCTTTTTAGTTGGTGATATTATACCCACTGCAGTTTCTGCTAATCTTAACCATGTGAAAAATGAAACTGAATAGGTGATTGAATGTGACTGAATTTGGCAGAAGGTAGTATTGTAACAATATACAATATTCTTCCTGAAAAGCAGTGTTCTGATTGATTGAATCTAGACTCTAAGCTGATCAGAAATATTATTAATTTGTCCATTTTTTTTTGTAAAATTTGTTAAGTTTTTAGGAATAAGTTAGTGACGTGACTGATTTCATTATTTCTAATGTGAGATTATCTCAAGTCATGACATATTAAAGTAGATTTTATAGAAATAATTTTAACCTGACTATAAGAAGGAGTTACCTCAAAGGGAGACTATAGGTGTTTTTGAGGCATCAGTCAGATTAAAAAAAATTAATAAAGGTATGAGGGGCTTTGTGATGTGTCCTTCCAGTGGATGTACAATATAGAGACTGTAGGTCACAGCTCCTGGATTCATATGGCCTTGATTCATCAGAGTGAATTGCTGCACACTGTGATGTGTAAACCTCGTAGTGCACACAACTGCTGTGTACTAAAGCAGAGAACAGTTACTATCTTGCCTGTTTCATGGCTGTCAGGCATTTTCATGATGATCCTGGAAAACTCTGTCCCTCTATTGAGACAAGAATAGGTGTTCTCCAGCTTTGGATATTGTCTCTGTTTCAAAATCCAAAGAGCCAGATTTATTGCTTTTGGTCTCTGGAGTCTTTGCAGTGGTAGGTATCACTTAGTCTTAAAAAAGAAAAAAAAAATCATAATAATGTGTAAACTCTGTATTTAACTATAAATTATGAATTGATACTGAGAACTCCAGCTCGTGTATCTCTCAGTAGCTGGTGAGCCATTGTCTTGAGATGATCTCAGCAGCAGAGCAGTCAGCAAAGAGAACTTGAATCATGGATCTCTTTTGTGCCTTCATGTACTTGCTACTCATCAGGCTGGGGACAAGACCTGTTTTCCAGTTGTATGCTCTTCAGAGTTCTTGGCTGATGGCTCTGCGTTCCTTCTACCCACCCAGAAAAACCTAAAGTCAGTTTGTTGCCTGTCAGATTATTTTTCTGACTAGGACTGTGTGAAAGAAGCTGCCTTATGTTACTTTGGGGTGACCTGAAGGTAGACTGCTAATTTCCAATTCAAGATGATTGTCTCTGTGCTCGGAAGGCCACAGAAGCATCCCTTTACTGGCTGGTCACCAGTGGCCCTTCAATCTATTTGTTGACATCAAATGATCGAAGCAGGGTCAGGGCCTCTGGGTCTCAGTCAAATTATGCAGACAGATGAACTGATTAAGTGCTCTTTTATCAGATACTGTTTTACATGAGTTGTATTTATAACTCTTATATCTAAATGAAAATAAACTAATTTATATATTAAAAAAAAATCCTTAATTCTAAATGAGGGTCTTTTTTGTAGGATTTTTCTGTCATTTGTGGGTGTTATGTGTTCCTCATGTACTAGATATTACTTCAGTTTTCTTCCTGTTGTCTTGTGTCTCCTATCTCTTTTTAGTCTCCCTTTTCCTTTTTAATTCTCAATTCTCTTCCTTTGTGCTGTTTTTCCATACACTTTTCTAAGTTTGGGAATAAATGTAAGGGTAGTCTCTCTAATACCTCCAATTAGGGCTTTTGAGATGGTTCCTTATGCGTTTTCCTTCTGTCCATCTGAACCCATTCTACTGTTGACATACAATGCCATATATTTCTCAATCAAGAACTGAAATAATACAAAGTTAAGATGAAAAAAACAAGTTGAAGTGGTTATTTTTTCCTATTTCGGCTGGGAGATGTATGAAGCTCAGTAGAAGGAGATCTGGTGGTTCTGATAATCAGACACTGACACAGCTCTCAGCGTCCAGGCCTTATTCTTCATGCTGGCTACTTATCACTTCTTATTTTTTCCACTTTTTCCGTCTGAGCCCAGATTAGGGTTTGTTGGGAGAGAAAACTGAGCAGGAAATACTACTGGGTGTTTGTAATATTAGTTGCATACATGCAAATGTAACATTCTTGAAATCCCAAAGATCTCTTAAAACAAAGAGGGAAGGATATTAAACTGTTAAATATGAATCCTAAAGGTGAGCCTAGAAGACTAAAACAGCTCCTAGGCTGCTATACGCTCTTTGGCTCACAGATGTATAAGACAGTGAATAATTTATTGGTCTTTTAGGGCTCAGTCCCATTCTTATTGGTTTTGTTGCTTAATTTGGTAGGAGTAGGACAGAGGCTTTTGTTACTGTTGGCATAATAATTATATTACACTTTACTTAGCCTGCTCCTCTATTTGCTAGTATTAACAGCTCTCTAAATCTCTCAGTTGACATTGTATTAGGTTTCATGTCCCTGGTACAGAAGAGAAACAAAACCTTCCCCAGGATTTACAGGCCAAGAGCTAAGAGTTTGTGCAAAGTCTTGTGAAGCTGAACCACGGACAGGTTCCTTCTTTGATAGAGGCAGGAATCTCATCTCTGTCAACTGTTGTACGTGACTGCTGTTTGAACTCCTACAGCTGAAACCTAGAACGAAGACGCTTGAGATATCCTAGGGCCAAGGGATTTTGCCCAGAATCTAATTATGAAGATGAGTAGAAAAGCAACGCTGGTGTAAGGCTGCCTTACTAGCAGGGAAAACAGATGGCTACACCCGTAAAGTGGTAAGAATTGAAAGCCCTGCCATGAATCACAGAATCACAGAATCTTCTAGGTTGGAAGGGACCTTAAAGATCATCTTGTCCAACCGTCAACCTCACTGACAAAAATAGACACCCACACAACAAACAAGGAGCATCATCACTAAACCATACCTCCCAGCACTACATCAACCCGTCTTTTGAACACCTCCAGGGATGGGGCCTCAACCACCTCCCTGGGCAGCCCATTCCAATGCCTGATAACCCTTTCAGTGAAAAAAATTTTTCCTAATATCAAGCCATGGAATTCTGTGAAAAAATTTTTCCTAATATCAAGCCATGAAAGAAGGCAGGAATCTAATTATGAAGATGAGTAGAAAAGCAACGCTGGTGTAAGGCTGCCTTACTAGCAGGGAAAACAGATGGCTACACCCGTAAAGTGGTAAGAATTGAAAGCCCTGCCATGAATCACAGAATCACAGAATCTTCTAGGTTGGAAGGGACCTTAAAGATCATCTTGTCCAACCGTCAACCTCACTGACAAAAATAGACACCCACACAACAAACAAGGAGCATCATCACTAAACCATACCTCCCAGCACTACATCAACCCGTCTTTTGAACACCTCCAGGGATGGGGCCTCAACCACCTCCCTGGGCAGCCCATTCCAATGCCTGATAACCCTTTCAGTGAAAAAAATTTTTCCTAATATCAAGCCATGGAATAAGGCAGAGATGCTGTACACACTGTTACTCTTGTATCTCGAAGTGTAGAGTTCTGGTTTTGCTTTCTCATCCCATCCCTTAACATGTTCTCTATGGAATTCTTCTTTCCATGCTGGAAGCTGGAGGTCACTCGAGAGAAAAATCCGGAAGCAAACGTATAAAATGCATTAAGGTATAGGCTATTGTAACAGTAAACCACTCGGGTAATTAAACATTTGATTTAAGGAATGCATAAATGGTTGAATGTATTCTAGAGGATGGAATTAGTGATCATTTAGTTTGATTAAATTAACATTTCCAAACAAGGCCAAACCATTGCACTGTCTGCAACAAAACAGCCTAAAATTATGAAGAAAACAAAGGATTGATTTCTTTTTTTTTTTTTTTTTTTTTTAAATGCTTAATTGAATTGAACACTTTATTATATATATAAATCCCATGGGATAGGGCTCTGGCAGGTAGACACCTCTCATGAGGTGGTCTCATGAGAGCTGGTCGATATTCAGGTAGTGCTTTCTCCAAGCTCAGGATCGGTGCATCCCGAAGAGCAAGAAACCAGGCGAGGGAAGCAGGAGACCTGTGTGGTTGAGCAGGGAGCTTCTGGAAAAACTCAAGTGGAAGAAGGAAGTTTACAGTGTGTGGAAGAAGGGACTGACCACTTGGGAAGGTTACAAGAATGCCGTTAGGATGTGCAGGGATGAAACGAGGAAAGCCAAGGCCTCCTTGGAATTAAAACTGGCAACAAGAAGGGTTTTTTTTTTCAAGTATATTGAAGGCAAAAGGCAAATTAGAGAAAATGTGGGCCTGCTGTTGTATGAGACGGGTGCCCTGTGGACAGAGGATGCAGAGGAGGTGGAGTTGCTGAATGCCTTCTTTGCTTCAGTCTTTTCTGCTCAGGCCAGCCCTCGGGAGCCACAGAATTTGGAAGAATCAGAGAAAGTCTAGGCAAAGGAACGCTTCCCCTTGGTTGAGAAAGACCAAGTTAAGGTACAGCTAAGTAAAGTGGATACCCACAAGTCCATGGGTCCTGATGGGATGCACCCACAAGTGCTGAGGGAGCTGGCAGAAGTCATTGCTGGGCCACTCTCCATCATCTTCGAAAGGTCCTGGAGAACAGGCGAGAGGCACCTGAGGACTGGAGGAAAGCCCGTGTCACTCCAGTGTTCAAAAAGGGCAAGAAGGAGGACCACGGAAACTACAGAGCGGTCAGCCTCACCTCCATCCCTGGAAAGATGATGGAACGGCTCATTCTGGGCATCATCTCAAAGCATATGGAGGAAAAGAAAGTTATTGGAAGTAGTCAACATGGATTCACCACGGGAAAGTCATGTCTGACTAACCTGATAGCCTTCTAGGATGGCATGACTGGATGGATGAATGAGGGGAGGGATGTGGATGTTGTCTACCTTGACTTCAGCAAGGCTTTTGACACAGTCTCCCACAGCATCCTCATAGGTAAGCTTAGGAAGTGTGAATTAGAGGAACAGACAGTGAGGTGGATTGAAATCTGGCTGAAAGACAGAGCTCAGAGGGTTGTGATCAGGGACACAGAGTCCAGTTGGAGGTCTGTAACAAGTGGTGTTCCCCAGGGGTCAGTACTGGGTCCAGTCCTTTTCCAATATATTCATCAGTCACCTGGACGAAGGGATGGAATGTACCCTCAGCAAGTTTGCTGATGACACAAAACTGGGAGGGGTGGCTGACACCCCAAAAGGCTGTGCCGCCATAGAGTGAGACCTGGACAGGCTGGGGAGTTGGGCAGAGAGGAACCTGATGAACTTCAACAAGGGCAAGTGCAGGGTGCTGCACCTGGGGAGGAGTAACCCCCTGCACCAGGACAGGTTGGGGGCTGACCTGCTGGAGAGCAGCTCTGAGAAGAAAGACCTAGGAGTCCTGGTGGACGACAGGATGACCATGTGCCAGCAATGTGCCCTGGTGGCCAAGAAGGCCAATGGTCTCCTGGGGTGCATCAAGAAGAGCGTGGCCAGCAGGTTGAAGGAGGTCATTCTCCCCCTCTGCTCTGCCCTGGTGAGGCCCCATCTGGAGCACTGGGTCCAGTTCTGGGCTCCCCAGTTCCAGAAGGACAGGGAACTGCTGGAGAGGGTACAGCAGAGGGCTACAAAGATGATGAGGGGCCTGGAGCCTCTCATGAGGAGAGGCTGAGGGACTTGGGTCTTTTCAGTCTGAAGAAGAGAAGACTGAGGAGGGATCTGATCAACACCTATAAATACTTAAAAGTGCAGGTGTCAAAAGGATGGGGACGGTCTTTTTTCAGTGGTGCCCAGTGACAGGACAAGAGGAAATGGGCACAGACTTGAGTATAAGAAGTTCCACCTAAACATGAGGAGGCAGAGCCCTGGAAGAGTCTGCCCAGGGAGGTGGTGGAGTCTCCTTCTCTGGAGACATTCCAAACCCACCTGGACACGTTCCTGTGCAACCTGCTCTGGGTGGACCTGCTTTGGCAGAGGGGTTGGACTCGATCTCCAGAGGTCCTTTCCCACCCCATGTGATTCTGTGATTTATAAATGGGAAAGTAATACTATTTACTGTGAAAAATTATTTCAAAAGCTGCATGTCATGATCACTCAGATAAAGTTGGGTTGAGCAATTAAGTCTGATCAGTTTGCCCAACTCCCTCTGCTTTCTGTTCTAAGCAGAATAGTTCTACATCACCACCAGTAAAGAAGAAAAAAAAAAAACGAACCAACCCAGAAGAAACCCCTCACCACCAAACCCCCCCTCTGTTCTCTGGAGTGGATTCCCAACTCCAATGACTACAGTCCTGCAAACCATTTGTGTGATGCTGTGATGAGTCACAGGAAGGAATAGGTTTCAATTCTTTCTCTTTGAGCTCTGTTGATTCTGCTAGGAAATGGGAGCAAGACAAGAGGCTCCTCACATCATCACGGGACCTGCTCTAGAATTTGTGGTGAACAGATGTGATGAGGAGTGAGCTACCTTGAACTTATATTTGTTTTTCTTTCAATGACATGTTTTTAAATATGGCTTAGTGAAAGCAGTGGCTAAATGAGATCATTTCAGGGCTTATGTACCGAGCCTCCCCCCCAATAATTTCATTGAATTTTGAAACTTCATGATATTTGTATTGTACATACTTTCAATTCCCACAGTTGTATCAGAAAACTTTTTTTTTAAGTATTCATAAAATAAAATGATGGCTGCATTGCCTTTCAAAGAAAAGCAATTGTAAGTCTATTAAAATATCAGTTATCTTCAGCATTCTCAAACTAAAAAAAAAAAAGTGAAGAGATTGAGTTGGCCTTCCAAATCCCAAGAGTTAATTTTTGAAGGTGATGGGTTTTGCCAATCTGGTTTCTGAGTCCTTAGGACACACTTAGGACCTGTTTTCAGTCTTTTCTCTGCACCTGAAAG